CCCATTAATTATCTGAAAATGAGTTCTACATACCTGTCAACAAGTGCCTCCCAAGTTTTCTCTATACAACCAAATAGTGTGTGAGGATTCCTATTGTCAGAGCACTTTTAAATAAATCTTTAGTGAGCAAATTTATTAAGTATTTAGTATTCTAAAGTTAGGTGTTATATATCTGAGGGAAGAGACTAAGGAAATGTAATGGACATGGCAGGGTCATATCTAGTGACAGTCATACATAAGTCCTTGGTGACCAGCATCATACCCAAGTGTTTTATCATAAAACCATTAAAGAGTTCAGTGCAGAGATCTCATCTTGTAATGCTACAAGTCTGGGCAGAGGACGTGATTCAGACACGTCCCAAGTGTCATCATCATACAGTTGCATAATATTCCTGAATATTTTCCTTCTTGACTCACATACAAAGGCATTGTACAGTCCATACTGTGGGAAAATAGCAAGACAAGTTATGCTAGTGTTTGAAGTAAAAACTTCTGTGGTTTGACTACTACTGAGATCACTTTGAGACTACAAAAGGACACTAGATTCCAAGTAGAAACTTGGTCCAAGACTAAGCATCATTAAGAAGTAACATTAATGAGCAAAATAACAATAAGCCATAAGTTAAAAATCATAAAATATCATATGCAGGAGATAAGAATCAGTAGCTTTTTCACTTATGGAGACAGAGACAAGCAAGTAATACAGAACTGTGTCATAGAATATGTGTATGCATGACTGTGCATGTGTGCATGTGTGTGTGTGTGTGTGTGTGTGTGTGTCTGTGTCTGTGTCTGTGTGTGTGTAACTATACCAGCTCCACCATTTCTATATTGGAGATGTGAGTTCCTATCTTGATGTTGATATTTAAGGCTTTGGATAAATGAGTGAAACTCTGAGCGTCTTAGCTCTGTCCACACTGTGCTTTAAGAGGATTCATAAAACTAATATATACATTTCATAACATATACTTGAGTGCCAGCTGGTAGGTATACAATGTGCTTTTGGTTACTATTATCCATGTTTTAATAATATTCTATAAAATAATAAATAATAAAAGTGCTTATTATTGTTAAACCTTTCCCACAAAACTGATATAAATTATGACTAACAGAATCCATTTACTATTTTATATATATACATATGCATATATATATACACACACATACATGTATATATTCATATTGATATCAATACTGATACAGATATAGATATAAATTCAACCACACAAATGTTAGCTATAGAACAGATCATAGACAAATTATATATATGCATATATATCCATATATATGTATATAGATGTTATGTATATTCATATGCTGCACAGTACATATATATGCATATATATGTACATACACATATATGCATATATACACAATATATATATATATAAATGTACAGTTTGTGTTTTTGCTTTGTTTTGTACTATAGTTAACACTTGCAAGGTTGAATTGCTTATAATATGTCTGACATTGCCATCTCTGTTCAAAAATAAATGGAGAGGTTTTTGGTATATTTTCTCTCAGAAAAAAAAAATTCCCTTTTCAAAATGAGTTTTCCTTTTTTACAACTCAGTTTCAACCATAGATTCATCCCATTTTGCTTTTTCTGGTTCCATCTTATCCTAAATCAGCTTTGCTTCAGTTGAATGTTTGTCATGTTCCATGTCTCCTCTATGTTCTGAAGTCTGTATAGACCCACTCAAATCCAGGCCCCCTTAACCACTTACTGTTCTCCCTCTGAAGACTCCAAGCTCACGTTTTCCATATTTGAAGGCTTTCTTCTCCTCACAGTTAATCAGTACCCAGGTCCAACCTTCAGTTTGCTCATCACTGAGAAAATCTCTTCTCAGAAACGTTCCTCAGTGTTTATCCCAGACTTGGGTTCTCACTGCATGCCATAGCTCACCTCCAGGCAGCGTTTAACTGCATCTCTGTTTCCCTTTAGAAAATGCTCCCAGGAAGGACATGCCTTCAAGTATCAGTAGAAACTTATTAAATTTTTGTTTTATTTAACTAATTTTTTTTAGTCATAGCTTGACTTCATAGTCAAGATGGATAACATATTCATATTAACCTTCATGTTCATAGATGAATAACAAAATGAACATTTTCAAGGGAAAAGTCATTTCTCTCCACAGTGAGCCTAACCATCTATTTAAAGAACTTTAAAAACACATTTGCTGATTTATTCTCATCTCTAAGAGAAGTTTAACACCTAAACAATATGATTATAGAGATTGCTAAAATAGCTAAAGATGTGAATTTGTACAGGGTTATAATTTTAGACATAGCATTACGTAACATTTCTTCTACAGAGGAGAGTTGAGGCTTATTTTTTTTTAACTTTTTATGTGTTATTTGTGAATTTGACATCATGCACCCTGCACTGCAATCCCACTTATCTCCCCTTCCCTTTCTACCTGCCTTCCACCTTTACTACCTCCTCACAACAGAGGAAAAAAAATCATACTGTGGAATCTATAGGGTGTTACAATGTGTCCCACAGTACATGTTGTCTACACTCCTTTGTTTGCAAGTGTTCATTACAATGACTCATTTGTCTGGTAGGAGGCCTCTATCTTCTGCTGCTCTATCAATACTGGAACCTCACTGGGACACCTCTTGGACATCCTGTTGTTGCCCTGTGCCGTAGAGATCCTGTAATTTTAGATCTGTAGAACTGGCCCCTGCATGCATTCCAGCAGTTCATCAATGGAGAAGATGTTGGAGTGAACCAATTCAAAGCCCTGAGTCTGTGCCTGAGAGGTTTCTGAACTTGTTCAGCCTGCCTGCTCTCCCTCTCTCACACCCTAGGGCCAACTTGCCAGCAAAATATGTAACAACTTGGACCAGCTCTATGCTGCTGCCCAGGCTCTGTTCAGTGCAGCTCTCCTGAGTGTTGCATCTGGTGAAAGACATGGCCAGTTCTCTCACACTCAGGACCCCAAGATCAGCTTTCCTGCCTGCTGTAGATGGCAAGATGAGAGAGGAGGAGGCATCTCTCTCTCATCCGCACCACTGCCATCCCAGAAGAAAAGTGGCAGGACCAGCTTTCCTGAACTCACACCTTGTGGCTGGCTCACTTACAACCCCTACATCCAGGGCCAGCTCTCCCTTGCTGCTCACACAAGGTGCTCCTGAGTGCTGCAGCAGGTGAGGGGCAGGACAACCTCTCTTGCTCTCATGACCCAGTCAGGGCCAACTCTCTCACTGATGCAGAGAGCAAAAGGGAAGGGGCTGGTGATCTCTCTTTCCCTTGCTAATGCCATCATACAGCAGACAAGAGGCAGGGCTGACACTCCCATAATCATGACCTCAGGGTCAGCTTATTTACAACCCCCACATCCAAGGTCAGCTCATTCACAACGTTGACATCCGGGGTAAGCTCTACAGGGCTACCCAGGTGAGGTTCAGGGCCTGCTCATCTGAATATCAAAGTGCCCAGGGGCAAGAGAGGTGCAGGGCCATTTTTTCCCCTCATTCATTGGAGACAAGTGGAGGTGAGGCCAGCTCTCCCATGCTCATGCCCTCAGGAACAGGCTCACCAGCAACTCCCAAAATGTGTAAAGCTCTTCTGAGTGCTGCAGCTGTCTGGGGCTAACCAGGCTATCTTGCTCTTATGCCACCAGGGCCAACTCACCCAGAATGCCCCAATGAGGACAGGGACAGGTCTTCACAGCTCTTAAAATCAATATGTCCCCAGATATTTACCTGGTTATGGTGGTAACAGATCCATGCTGTTACAGGATCACACTCGCAGACATGACGGGCTATGTTGGCAGCATAGGCGAGTATCCAACGATCGGCTACTCAAATCAGTCTGTTCCTTACTACTGAGTCTCCTGTCTCTCTTCATTGTGCCCATGCCCTTCTGTTTCTCTTTCTCTTCTATTTCTGCATCACTTACTTGCTCCTCTTGGCAGTACCTGGTGTCTGTGTGTGTCTGGGGTCATCTCAGGAGTAGGCTCAGGAGTGCTATGCCCTGCTCATGCATTGCATTGGTCAGAGGTCATCTCAGACAGAGGTCTGTCCTCCCTCCTGTCACCTCCAGGCCTGTGAGCTGCTAGACTGGTGGTAATCTCAAGCTAGTTCCATGTCTGGGAACCATGATGCTGAGCTAGTGATTGTCTAGTGCGGGTCCAAACTCGTGCGGGGTGCATGGGCAGGGTCGTGGCCACGAGCTGGAGGGCAGCGGCAGTCCCAGGGTATGCTGTTCAGTCGGGGGGCGACGTAGTCTCTTGAACCACGGTTACAGCTGCCGCTGACGGCTGGCCCGGAAGAGCAGGGAGCAGACTGAAGAATCCGCTTCCGCCCTTGCCTCCAAAACCGCATCTCAGTGCCTCCAAGGAGGCAGGCGAGTGTTACAGCTCTTTGGTTTCCTCACTCTGTGGGCAGCCTGGGGGTGCCTCGGCTGCGGAAAGGGAAAAAGTGTTACAGCTCTTTGATGTGCATAGACAGCGGGAAGGATCTCTCACACACTTTACTTTTGAGCTTGGGCAATATATACAGTTTTTGGAGTGGCGGCAGGTAGCCCTATTGCCTTGGTCTGAGAGCTTGTGAATGCCTCATCTGCATGAAGGTGCTCTTCCTACCATGCATGAAGGTGCTCTTCCTTCCATGGTGATCAATGGCCATGGACTTCTCCGTGGGAGGGACTGTGGGGAGTGGAAGCTAAGAGAGCCAGATGACTTGGGAAGCTTGAAGCGGTCCTTCCGTCCTAATGGTCTTCTTCAGACCAAAGTTTCCGGGACTTCCAGAGCTTTCTACCAAGCTTTCTGGCCTTTTCTCATAGCCCACTGCCCCACAGTCTCGGACCCATTTCTTGCCAAGACCATTCCAGTGTCCCCTTGTGAAGATCTTCTGTCTTGGGATCACTCCTGCCCAGAGTAGGAGGTTCCAGTATGGCTTTTCTTGTCTCTGGCCTGCTCCACGGTCCTAGGAGCCTTTCCTGGCCTGCCTGGTGCCCGACTGGTGGGCATCTCAGGCTCACTTTTTAAGGAAATGTTGTGCTACCAATCACTCGGATATTCATAGATCATATTCATACATTGTATGTAGACCTAGCTTTTCTCCTTTCTGCCATCTAATGTAATACCACAGGCACACTTGCAAGGCCTCTAGGGGGAGGCTAGGCTTAGTTTGTAAGTTACATTTCGCTCATCTATGATACTGAAAATATCAGGCTTTGCTCCTTAAGAATCATCTTGTAAGACTCCATTATACTCAGTTGTGACTGTCTTCATAGTTATAAATATGGGTTAATTGTTTTCAATCTTTATATCTGTATTTCTATATGAGGTAACCATCATTAGTGACTTCTCAAATTGTTTTCCTGAGCTACCAAAACCAAGACAAACTGTTCTTATGATATTCATGTAACACTTAATAAAAAACATCAGCATAAATTAGAAGACACAGTAGAAGAGTTCTAGGATCATATACCTCAAAAAATATAAGACTCAACTAGACAAAATTAACTTTATGTTAAATGTGTCAACTTAAAACTGACTTTGTAGCCAGGGAATAAAGCACACCCAGTTTGGCTTCAGGCAGTGTTATTAGAATTTGTCAGAATTAAAATAAGTACTTACTTTTTAAAAACAATCAAAGTAATCCATAAAACAGAAGGTGAGGGCTGAGCTCAGCTCCTTTGTTATTACCTAATCACTGTACTTAGCGGGAAAGGGTAAACTGAATAAAATACATTTTAGGAAAACTACTTTTGTGATGACCAATAAGATTAATTAATGCCTTTGACTTCTTTTAATGCTTTCATTATGAAATATTCTACACAAGACTGTGAAGAAATTTAACACAAATCAATGAATTAATTAAAACACTTCCCTGTTATATTAAAAAAAACCTAAAGAGTTATTGAACTAATTTTCAGTTTAAAGTGTCTCTAAATAAGCATTGAATCTGAAGACTGGGCCCTTATGTCAGGCTATTTCTGGTTCTCTGTTAAAATCAATACAAAGTTATGGCACAGTTTATTAGTGACAGGGACTTTAGACTTTATTTAAGCAATGCATTTTGTCCTATAGAAATTAACATTCATTGTGGCAGGGCCAACTTACATGCATAAAATAACTGAAGAATCATACATTTATTGTGTCACAAAATGATAAAGAAGATAAAAATCATGTTGTAAGGTAAATGACTCCTCCTTCCTCCCTCCCTCCCTGCTTTGCTCCCTCCTTCCCTCCCTCCCTCTCCCTCCCCCCCCTCCCCCCCCCTCTCTCTCTCTCTCACACACAGATCTTGTGTCAAGTTTGTTTGTAAAAACAGCATAGGTCTCTGGTCATGTATCTTCTAATCCTTTTGGTGTTAGCAATGAAAACCACACAGCTGAGTGTGTGGTTGAGGCCCTTTAGCATCTTGGAATTGATGGCCTTACAAGGGCTTTGATGGCCTCTGTGCATGCACTCCCTGCCTTTGCATTTTTGGCCTGCATCTTCTTTAGTCCTTTCTTGTTGTACTTCTTGCCCAAATGCATTTTCCTCAGGAACCCCCTTAAGAAATTCATATTTTTGTAACCAGGATTTCTTGATGTCATTTCTGTACCATTTGCAGGACTGGTTGTGTGTGGTGTAGTTCTGAAGAGCAGGATATTGCCTCTTAACAATAGCTAGGGTGTAAGTATCTGGGGGTATGGGAGAATGGAGACATTCTCTTGGAGACAAAGGAGAAACAATGGGATGAGCAGCTCTTGGGAGGCAGAACCAGAGGGGGATGATGACTAGACTGTAAAAAAAAAAGTAAGATTAAAGATAATTTTAAAAAATTAAAAAAGCAATAGATAGAGACTGAGACAAGGCATGGAAGATTATGTCTGCTTGTTAGTTTTCATTACTGTGAGAAAATAAGCATAAATAAACAAGGTTTATTTTGGTTCTTAGTCACAATCTATGGTCACTTGGTTCCACCGTGTTTTAGTCAGTGCATGATGAGGTAGAGCATTAAGTAGATCAGATATGGCAAAGCAAAGAAGCTCACCTTGTGGTGGCCAGTAACCAGAGAGACAGACAGAAGAAATGAGAAACATAGCCCAAAACATCATTTCCCCTCTGATTTACTTTCTCTGACCAGACGCATCTCCTAGAGGCCTATTTCACATCATCTTCTCAATGAATAATCAACTGATGAACTTAGCATACTTACAGTTCAGCAGTACCTTACTACTGCTACCACCTAAGGACCCTGCCATTGACGTGGTAACTTTGAAACTTCTATGTCTAAAGAATAGTAAGTGGTACTTTTGGATAACTAGAAAATGATTAAAAGAAATCTGTTTAAAATTCAGAGAAACTAGTAGAAATAGTTTTGGAAATAAATTATTGGGTGTATGAGGGAAAGTTGGACGCTGAGTTTTCTCTGCAAAGATAATTCTGTTTAGGACAAACTCTAGAAAGAATCACCGTTAATGTGATTAAACTATATTGTGAGACATAGTGACTGCTTTTAGAAGTATATATTTTACATGGCTTTTTTTGTTTCTTAGAGGTAATCTAGATTGATTCTAAAGCTTTATTAATACATTTTATGTTTTTCATCATTATTATGTATATACATTCTAATCCACGGCTTTATTTTGTGAGAAGCAATTTAGGTTACACACACACACACACACACTCACACTAATACACTCACACCACACACATACAAAACAGGAAGCATATTTTCTTTACAGTCCCTTTAAAGCCCACTACACTTCCCCCTACTTTTTAACATCTTTCATATCTGTCCAATGGTTGTTATAGTCAATGAAATGATGCTGATACATTATTATTAGAGGACCAGGATAATCAATACTGGCTTTGAATGCTGTGTCTTTCTTAAATTCAGGCAAGTGTGGCACGATGAGGGAAAAGGAAAATGGCTCAAGTAACATTCTAGGGAGAAAGTACATGTATCATCATTCAATGTGACAGAGAAAGGTCAATGTCAAAGAGCAGTTTCAAAGGCAGGGAACAGAGAAATGGAATAGGACTTTTAACTCATGTAATGGATGGGGCTTTGAACAATACATATATATCTCAAAACCTCAGTTCTGACATTTATAAATGAAAGGAGAATTTTAAACCTTATTAGACATAGATGCCAGAGATTGTAAAAATAATTTCCTTTATCTACTTTTTTTTGTTCATTGCAAAAAAAAAGTAATGATGTCTCCATGAGATAACACATGTAGTTAAAATAGTAATAAAATTACTGTGTAATTGTATACTCTTACCATCACAAGTTAGGCAAATTAGTAAAAGTGTTATTTTTGAAAGTGATTGTAGAATAAATTTTCTCAGAACATTGAAAAAAGGAACAATTATTTATATAATAATTAGAAGATGTGAAAGTGTTAGAGAAGTCAGCTTAACCAGATTTGATGGAAGTTTTATAGATGTTTATAACACGAGTGCCAACCATACATTTAAATACTGGTGAACATAGGAAAAGAGAATTTGCAGAGAACCTTGTATGTATTGCACAGTGCAATTAAGTACTCTCCCATCAAGGCTCACGTGTTGATGTCTTCTCATGCCACTATCTCTGTTTTATCCTTACCTCTTTCTCTTATTCCTCCTTCCCTTTTCCCTCTCTCTTAACACACAAGGTCAGAATTCGAGGCATATATTTCTAAGTACATAAATTCTAAAGATTTTTTCAGTTAGGTAAAGAAAATTTAAAGTGTATACTATATCTTGCATATGGTACAGTAGAATACCATTTCTTCTTGAGGATAAATGTATATAAATATATGCTAGTTATTTTACTATATAGTTTGTGTAGATTATTATAGGTATTCTACTTATTGTAAAATCTGCATTACAGAGAAAATATGTATGAATATTTAAACATGTATGATCTCACCAAAGGACAAAATATCATACTTTAATTCTTGGTATAACCCAACATAAACTTAAATACACCACACATATATACATATTATATATGTATTATATATGTATAGATATATATGTAATATATAACTAAAATAATGGTGTTACAGCCTTTGGAAATCTTATGCATCAATTATAATTAGAAAATAATGTATTGTGCTTTTTAAAAAAAGTTAAAATACATTTATGTTTTCAAGATTCTATACATTCAAAAGTAATTATGTCTTATAAATTATAAAACACTTATTTTCAAATGATAGTATAGGATGCCAATATCTCTGTAGAATGAATAATTAATAAGAGCATTAAATTAAGCACATGGTAAAATGATACTTTCTTCTATACAGAGTCCAAAATCCTATGTCCTGAAAAATCTGTAAATGTGATATAAAATATTAGAAATTTGAAACTTATACAAATCTAAAATTTTAACATTTGTCAATACTGGCATAATGAAAAACCTTACATAATTATTTTAAGTTTTAGAGGACATGATATTTCATATTTGAAATAATCCGGAATTGAGCAGAATTGTACATGTATGCTAATGAAAGCAATGATGTAGAGAATATTATAACTAATGAAAAACACTAATATGTACATTTTATTAATGACCATATCTTCTTAAATACTTTATTCATTACTTTAAAGTATACTCTAACATTTTTAGAGTCTTGACATTTAAAACTTCAGGGTAAGACATATATTGATTTTCAATTATTAGCTTCTGTCTTGTAACCTGTTTTGTGTAGTATTTTTATTAATTATTTTATAATTTCATATACACATGCAATGCCACTATGTTTTATGACCTCCGTTTCTCCTCCTAATTCCTTTGGTATCTGCTTACCACCATTACAAAGTTTCTCACTTCAGTAAACTTTCCCCCCTTCATTTTAATAATCTACCTATTTCAGTTGGTAATGTCCATTAACTGATTTAGCTGGAGCCATACACTGCAGCCTGGTTGACCTAGAGGGGACAGAGTCCTTAAAGAAAGCTAAGTTCTCTTCTTCTAGAAGTCAGCATTGGCCAATAGCTCCATCCACTGACAATAGTCCCATCCTATGTCAAGTCTCATATTTATACTATTTTTTTTATTCTTGTATTTTTTAAATAAAATACTAAATAATTTATTTTTATTTTTATTTAGTCTACACATTTCAGACATTCTTTGGCTACCTCAACTATGTTGAAATTTCCTTTTGATTTTTATGCAATTCATGGGATATCT